ACTTCTTCTGGGTGCTGATGGCTCTGAGCCATGAGTTTTTACTCACACTGCCTCATTTAATCTTTACAACAGCCCTGTGAGATCAGAATTATAACCTGTATTTGACTAAGAGAGAAATGTTGGCTCAGAGGCCATACCAGTGTCGCAAGCATCTGCAATGCAGAGCTAGCTGACCTCCTCCAAGTCTCTACACTAGCCCAGTGTTGGGTCTACCACACTGGGAATCTATGTTGTTGATGTACCAGTATTATATACTGGTCTTAATATATAATCTACCACACTGGGAATCTATGTTGTTGATGTACATTCTGTCTTACCAGTATTATATACTGGTCTTAATATATAATTACCAGTATTATATACATTTCTACTAAAATTAAAATACCACGAGGGGAACATGCAACAGAAAATGCAAAGTTACAATTTAAAGGCTCATTACAAACTCAGTTCTCCGACCGCCCATGGCTGAAAAGCTCACCTCTATGGACAGTTTTCTAGTCTCGTGTTTCCTGCCACAATATTTTGAGAGAGGATGAAACTCAGCTGTAGTCTCGTGAGAAAGGTTACCAGAGGGATGCAACTCTTTCCACTATGCCCTGGGCCGCTGAACAAACTACTCACGTGAGCAAATGTGCAGAGCAATCTGGAGCAACTAGACCTTCTGGACATTAGGGAGACTGCTCAAGGACAGGATCTCTGCTTTGCTCTCTTGGCGCCTAACATAGAACCTGCTTTCCAAGCAGGTGCTCGGCAAACGTTTACTGAATGAATGAATGAATGAATGACCAAATGGCAGTAACCGGTAGTCATGAGCTCACAAAGCCTTTCTTGGGCTATGTCATCCTCTGCCCAATCTTGGGATGCAACGTGGGAACAGCTATAGTGGCAGTAAACCCCTCAGGCATGCCGGAGGTAATTAGTTAAACAGGAGTGAACAAAGACAAAACCAAGTAAAAACAAAACCAAGTCATTTCTTTAAAAATTATAGCAAAAACTGGGTTTTTTTTGACATTTTCTCCATCCTAGACAACCTCCTAAAACCATTGAAGTCTTTAGTTATGTGAAGGAAAATTTACAAAATAATGATACATACTGTGAATGGTAGTGGATGACAAAGGCATAGATTTTTGGCCAGACACTCTTGAGCTAAAATGCTGACTTGTGAATGACTTGTTAGCTGTAAAACCAGAAAGCCCCTTAGCTTGTTTAAATATCAGCTTGATCAATGGTAAAATGAGATATGAATTCATTGAGTTATTATAAAGATTAAGAAAGATTAATAGTGCCTGGCACTTAACAGGCTCAATAAATATGAGTTCCCTTCCTCCCTCCTTCCCTTCCTTTCCCAGATCTTTCCTTCCCTGACACCCATTTATCCTAAAACCACAGAGGTAGGTGAGATCATGTAATTATTTTTAAAAATGTTCTTATTGCTCCACGTTCAAAGACTTTTTTAAAACATGAGTTGGGGGAGCTCTAAGTTCTCTACTCATTTTTTTTTCTGAGTGTCAGATCTAAGACAGTGAATCCTATTACATAATAGAAAAATGGGAAGCTGAGGGCTAGGACACAAAAATTATTGTAATTAGACAGATAACAGGGGGGAAAAAGGTTGTGGCTTCGTAGGCTTCCTATTCTCTGTCATTACCTCTAAAAGTGGACAGAGATACAATCAAAAAGGAGATGGCCTTGCTCCTGAAGTTACTGCTACCTTAGGAGCGTTAACGGGACATCTGTTGGCTTTTTAACAAAGGAAGCTGGAGAGGATCAAGGGAAAGTGCAGGAGACGATGGTTCACAAGGGAGCCACATCTGTTTGGTATTTCCCCAACTGAGAAAGCTCAACTTCTGAAACAGCCCCGGTCTCCTGGTTACCCTGGGATCTAGGAGCAGATGAAAGCTTTTCTTTCCTCCATATTTCAATGGTACTGATCAACAGCTGTTTATATCCTTTAATACCTAATGAAGGGCGAAGCCTTCACATCTGTCAGTATTTTCCTGTTCTATTTCCTTGGATCACAGTGGGGAGGAGGTGAAGTTGGAGCCGCCCACCCCACACTCCCCAGAAGTATGCCTTGGGTTCAAAGCTGTAATGCTAAGCAGAAGTCCCCAATTCTCATCCACCCAGGGTCTGCTGTTTGCTGAGAATTCTTCTTTTACTCTATCCTGACAGGTGTCTTGATCATTTCCATGATAATGATGACTCATAGCAGCACAAAGATCAGAAAGAAAAAAAGTAGGCTGGAATAGGGGGAAGGAAGAAGAGCAGGAAGGGAAGTCTAACGAAGGAAGTGGCTCCTGAAGATAAGTTATTTCAAAAAATAGCAAAAATATGGTCTGAGGGCAAATAACAGAGGTGAGCAGGAAGCTCATGAAGACCCTCAGGGTGACAGCGGATGGTGGTTGTTTTTACTGAGCCCTAACATTTCACCTTGGAAAAGTAAAACAGGGAATATTAAGCTTTTGCAGGCAAGGCACACAAAATACCCAGGATGATACTAAAGGGATTCAGAGACATTTGTTTAACTTCACTTTGATCATCAGCAACAGAGACATGTTGGGACTTTATAAAAATTATTTTTCCACCCGTCCTCCCATCTGTCCATCCATCCTCCCACCCACCCATTCAACAACTTATAAGGCACCAAGACTGGATTAGTGCTGAGACAGTCAAATGAATATGACATATTCCATAACTGTAAGGGGCTTACACTCAATTGATGGAAGAAGACATGGTATCAAGGATGCAAGAGAAGATGGTGAATCCAGAGAAGAGAACAGTGTGGATAAACCCAGAGAGTAAGAAACACACAGTTTCTGGGGAATGAAAAGCATTCTGGGTGGTTACAATAAACAGAGGATAGAATGCTGGGTTCTTATTAAAAGTGCAAATTCTTAGGTCTTACCTAAGAGATTCTAATTTAGTTGTTAAGGGCGGGGGGGGGGGGCACCAT